TATTAAGGTATTATTGATATACACTCTTATGAAGGTTTCACATGAAAAAACAATGTGGTCATTACATTCACCATATTATCAAGTCCTCACCCATACCCCAATGCAGTCACTGTCCATCAGTTTAGTAAAATGCCAAAGATTCACTATTTGCCTTTTCTGTGCTACACTGCTTTCCCCATGATCCCCCACACCATATGTACTAAACATAATACCCCTCAATCCCCTTCTCCCTCCCCACCCACCCTCCCACACCCCTCCCCTTTAGTAAGCACCAGTCCCTTCTTGGAGTCTCTGAGTCCAGCATCACGCATTTCTATATTTCATTTCTCCTTCAAATACTTTCAAGTCCACCCATTTGCTTGATTTTAACACCAGTTCTGAATTAGGCTGGGAGGGAATCAGCCTAAGCAAAGAGAGTTGATTTCTCTGATTTTCTTTTAAACCTGTTGTGATTGCCCTTTGGAGTGTCAGTTTATTGAGTTCACAGACTTAACAGTTGATAACAACATTGAATGTCTCCCGCAAACATATGCATAGATGAAGGATGTCCTTTTCTTTGAAATGAAACATGTTCCTCAAAACCAGATATAATCACCCTTCTCCAGAAAGGTTGGTGAGTTCATTCACTCACAGAGAGCTAAAAGTTATTATAAAAATCTCTATTTTTTTATCTAGCTTTTAGATAAAGTCTTCAACAGTTTCCTCAATTGTGCCCATGTTTAACTTTGTTGCATTTCTTCACAATTGATCACATAGTTGAGTCTGAGATCTATTTAGCCATTCATTTGAATCTAAAAATTTACCACTTTAAGAAAAGGGTCCCTGTGTTGATTTTATTTAGTTAAGAAACCCATATTTATTTTGACGTTAATATTATCACTTTCAGTATTTCCTTTATTATAAAATAATGTTGACAACAGCAATAATGTATTCAAATAATTGCCCAAACACAGCTGATTAGCCAAAAATGGCAATGAATAGTGCATAAACTTCTGAATGATAATTCAACAATGAAAAATCATGAAATGCCCATGTATATAACACAGGTGTGATGAGTAAGACAATAATCACAGGCTTCTTGTAAATTCTTATTTCAAACTTTCTTTCTATGCATACACAGTGCTCTCATGGCTGAAGAATTAAGTATTCTATTATATCCCCTAGGGGAAGCTCTAGGTATTATTCCTTCTATGCCAGTGGGAAATATAGAAGGCAATTCTGTGGTTGAAATCAGAGATAAACAGGTCCAGTATAAGACAGATTTACATCATTAGAGGATTTCTGAAGGGAACAGGGATTTAGGGCACAGTGGTAACAACAGTAAGGAGAGCTAATATTTCTTGAACACTAGTTTACAATGTATCAAGCACTATTGCTGAGCAGTCTACATTTATTTTCAAAGATTCTTTTCACAGCACTTTGAGGGAAGTGTCATTATTACTGAGGATCAATGATGCTAAGGACATAGATAGTTTCTGATCAGTGAGCCAGCATAATTATTCTCTATACTAGTGCTTTCCTCAGAAATATAATATGCAGTTAAAAATTTCCTAGTAGCCTTATTAACAAAAGGAGAAACAAGTAAAATCTATCTTGATAGTGTTTCAATGTACTATGATCAAATATTATTTCAATAAGTAATCTAATAATAAAATATTAAAGAGATTTTCTAATTCTATTTTTAGTAGTCTTTTGAAAATCTGATATGTATTTTATATTTAAAGCTCTATTTGGACTAGCTACATTTCAAGTACTTAGTAGCCATCTTACCATCTTGGACAACATAGCTCTAGAGTACATACTGTGGGGAAGACACAAGCAAATATTTGCTTTGGAGCAGAATACACGTGTTTCTAAGGAAATCATTACTCTGACCTGGCCTTGAATCCCAGAGATCATCCCTGCAACCTGCTGTTTCTTCTGGTCATCCTACCCATGTCTCACACCAGGCATCTGACCAGAGGACTCTGATAACAGAATTTAGCCCAAGCCAGGCCATGGTAGCTTCCCCCTATCCACCCTGAGGCAGCCCAATTTGCACAACAGAGTTACCTTTGAGGAGGAAACTAGATATGGTAATCCATTTCTGGGCAATCTCACTGATCAGAAGATATTAGAATGTGTGGTTGATGTAAGACTACCTGGTAGTCGTATTTGCTAGTAGTATGAGTTTGATCAATTTACTAAAAGATCTTAGGCTAAAGTTCTTCCTCTATAAAATGGAGACAGTTGAGAGAATTTACCTTTCAGTGTTGTAGTAGGAATTATATATAATAATTCAGGCCAAGCATTTCATGTGGTACTTGACCCATGGAATCCATGGTTTTATTGTTTTTTCCTTCCATGGGGTCTTCTGTAAAGAAAGATGATATTCAGTACAGAATGGATCTGTAACACCCAGCAAAGCTGTCTCAGGGAACTCCTCTTTACTCTGAAAATGTTTGAATTGCTCAGAATTGACTTTCTATCCTCTCCACTGAGTTTCCGCTTGGTATCTCTAGGAGAAAGTATCTCTAGATGGTAAGAACTAAAGCCATCCATTATCCAAAGCATCGTGCTAAGCATCGTTCTATCTCAGAGGCCTGAGACTCATCCCAGATCAGTGATTCTCAACCTTTCAGGTGCTGATGTGAGTTAGGACCGAGTGGGAGGAGGGCAGGAGGGCCATGTATAATTTGGAAAGCCATTGCTCACAGACTGATGAACCTCAAGTGTCAGGCACCATACCAAGGCTTTGGGAATGGTTCCTGGGAGTGTATTCACTTGGTCTCGTGTTTTTTGTTTTGTTTTTTTAATTGTAAGGTTAAGATATTTTAATCAAAGCTAGTTAAAATCTTTATTTCCAATCTTCTCTTCCATTACTATTCACCTTTGTTTGATTATATTGGGATGCTGATGACAATATTTGAGACTTGGGTAAGAGAAAATTTAGTTGAATACGTATTTAATTTGAGGTTAATGAGACATTACAATGAGGTTAATGAGGTGAGTCACAGACATGCTCCTATTTAGGTCTCCTGTTGCTAGCCAATGTAATGTAACAATGGTTTCAAGGAATACTCCTACTGCTCCCCGACAAACTAACCTGGATTCCTGGCAGAAAGATGCAGGACTAGAGGCCATATAATGACATCTGTGTATTCATAGCACCCAGCAGTGAGAGTGAGTGTATAATAAAGAATCAAGACTTGAAATATATAGACAGAAACTAATCTGTGAAGAAGTCTTCCAAATTTTATAACTCACATATGAAACTCAACAGAGGAATCCCCAAATTTGACAAGTCTTACCAACCAACCAACATTACCAAAAATGCGTTGTTCTTAAGCTGAAACTCTTCTAAATTACCAAGGGAATAAATAGTGGAAATGCTGGATTCTCTTTCCACTATCTATATAGAAATATTACAAAATAATTTTCATTTGAAGAGAATCAATATGCAAAGACATAGAAAATGTGTTATATTCAAGTTACTAAGATGTACTATTTTTCTGATGGCTATGGTTTTATTTGTAAAACTGTAATTCATTTCCCCCAAAAAACTAGATATATGTCTAACTAGTTTTGGATTTCTGATTTTTGTATTGTAGTCTTTAAGAGGTGCCAGGTTGTATAAGCTTTAGGCCTCAGAAAACTATCAGTTGTTATACTTTTATATTTGGAAAACTTAAAAAGAAATTAACACATAAATCGATGTTCTTGTAAAAGTGGGCATGGCTTATTGGAATAAGGAGGGAGATGTCTAGGCTGGCATGTGCATACAGTGAGACAACGAATTTGACCGGATCTGTACTGTTGGAACTCAACCAGGAGTTGGGAGGGGTGCAAGTTGTAGTGCTCCAAAATCTTATGACTATAGACTATCTACGGTTAAAAGAACATATGGGATGTGAACAGATCCCAGAAATGGGCTGCTTTAATTTGTCTGATTTCTCTCAGACTGTTCAAGTACAGTTGGACAATATCCATCATATCATAGACAAATTTTCACAAATGCCTAGGGTGCCTAAATGGTTTTCTTGGCTTCACTGGAGATGGATGGTAATTATAGATTTGCTTTGTTTATGTCACCGTATTCCTATTATGTTAATATGTGTGTGCAAATTAGTTAGTAGTTTAAAACCTATACATACTTAAGGTACTCTACAAGAAGATATGTCAAAGAAATAATCAATCCTCCCATGTTTCCTTCAATATGCTACCTCTATAGCTTTTCTTCTTCCTTCCTAATTACAACCCTTAAATAGAATTCGTGCCTCATATCGAATTTACCGAGTATCATAATTCCTCCAGGTGGTAAAGATACCTCGAGACAAGTGCTGGGCATAGAAGCCACAGGGCATAAATCTGCAAAGAAGTAAAAAGCTAACCTTTTCAAACAATATGGCTTCTCTCTCACTTACCAACTTTACATTTCCCTGTATGGCCCCGGAAGATGACTGGTTAGCCAGAGACGGGTAAGATTCCTCAAGGGAGGAACAACCTAAGACAGGCACAGTCGCAGGGGGGCCATCAGGTGAGAATTTGGGGATCAACAGAGGTGAGGCTCAGAACCTCACCCCCCCTGCTTTGAGAGAAATCTTCTGCATCCGTGGATGTCTTGCTGCCCTTGTCTAGCCTGGATTAATACTTAGTCCATAGGCACACACCTGATCATCTGATCATCTACATTTGCCTTCTTACAGCACTAAACTATGTTTTCTACCTTTATCTTGCATCTACCTACCACTTCAGCATTTTATTAAAAATAAAAATAATAATAATAATAGGAGAAATGTGGGATCAACATATAAATCAAGTACAAAAATCAAATGAATATTCATATTTGACCTGATGGTTTATAGGTCATATTGCATGATCAAAACCGAAAGTTTCTGTGATGAATGCCCTTGTACTGTTCACCATGTAAGAATTTATTCACTATGTAAGAATTCGTTCACCATGTAAGAACTTGTTCGTTATGCTTCAGAAGATTGGAGACTGACGAGTTAGGCTTGAGATGGATTAATGATTGTACATTGAGCATTGACCCCCCCTATACTGAATTTTATTGTTGTTAACAACCACTTGATCAAATATGAGATGCCCTCTCAAAAAAAAAAAAGTGGGCATGGCTTAAAGAACTACAGTTACTACCTTTCTCAATCTCAAATCTGATTTTAAAATGAGTAGGCAAAGGAATTTTGTCAAATAGGCAAATCTTATCTTTTTTGTTGCATACATCTAATTCAGTGTACCTCTGGTGGTGAGTACTGAAATTACCTATTGCCTGAGCTATGCATTGTAGGCCGACTGATGCTGGATTCTAGATTCTGGATACGCGAATGCTGTGGATTACTGGGTTTTAAGCATAGTAATGCTGCTGCTAGATCTCACGTATTACAATGAATTAAAATCTATGACAGGGGCCTCCGTAAAATATACCCATAAATCCTTTTACCAAATTTTATAGAATTGAGAGTAGACATAAATGAGAACTAAACACTAAGTACTATTAAAACTGACTAATTCAAATACAACTAAGAGCTTACTGTGCTATTGGTCCACAAATATGTCCGAAAGGACAACAAATAAGAAGGCAAAAGATATGCAGCTGTTTAGCAGTCGTAATAGACAACGCAAGTGGAGACCAAAAAAAGTACTTAAGCTTAGAAAGCCAACTCACATTCAAATGCCTACGTGAAAAACATTTTCCTATTAAAGCAATTCACTTTATGCTTCAATAATTGAAATCTACAATCAGATTACAACTGCTTTAAGTGAACTTGTGGGTGGCTCTGAAAAGAGCCTTTTTTTAATCTTAAGGGAACAATTCTCTTAAGCTCTCTCCCCACGGATGCGGCGAGCCAGCTGAATGTCCTTGGGCATGATGGTGACACGCTTAGCGTGGATGGCGCACAGGTTGGTGTCCTCGAAAAGCCCCACCAGGTAGGCCTCGCACGCCTCCTGCAGCGCCATCACGGCCGAGCTCTGGAAGCGCAGATCGGTCTTGAAATCCTGCGCGATCTCGCGCACCAGCCGCTGGAACGGCAGCTTGCGGATTAGCAGTTCGGTGGACTTCTGGTAGCGGCGGATCTCGCGCAGCGCCACCGTGCCGGGCCGGTAGCGATGGGGCTTCTTCACGCCACCTGTGGCCGGCGCACTCTTACGTGCCGCCTTGGTAGCCAGCTGCTTGCGCGGGGCCTTACCGCCGGTGGACTTGCGAGCCGTCTGCTTCGTACGTGCCATCTTGCAAAACTAAAAAAACTCGAGTACTGGTAAGTGCAAAGTTACCCTTAAATACAGTAAGAAGCATTCTGATTGGTCATATGTTTTTTAAAAAGTCCCGCGCGATAAAACCACTGGCTCGAAGCGTAATCAGAAGGATTGGTCAATTGCTAGAGCATGATTTGAATTACTCCATCGCCCATCTATTTTTTGTCTTCGAAATCTAAAAGAATTTCACATGCTGTTTCACCCTGCAACCAAACACCGTGTTAAACATAACTTGTGATTTAGAAAATCTTGGTGGGTTGTGTCTCAATTCTTGACATGCTCAGAGTGCCAATTCTGCTGATCTGCCACGTTAAATTACATACAATTTTAATTTTGTCGTTTCCTTCTCCCCGGACAGTTAGGTTTTTTTAATTAAATAATTAATCCCCTGGACTGCCACTTTCGCAGCTGCGCTCATTACAACTCCTAATCTCGAGTGTTTTCTCTTGGGAGACTACATGTCAGGATCCCTGAGTAGATTATTAAAATCACATGTAAAGCGGCTTGTCGGGTCTGGTAGCGTTAAGTCCAATAGACAGCCGCCATATTCTCCGAATTTTGCTAGATGAAATAGATCTTGCTTGAACTTGAAATGCGTGTTCAACTTTATTACTGGTCAGCTGTTCGTTTCCTTGCCGCGTAATAACTGCGAGTCCCAGAGACATTCCTGCAGCAATTCTGGCTATTTTTCTAACACGTTTTCACATCAAAATACCTTTCACAAGTTGATTTGAGACCAACGTAGCATAGCCTGATTACCAGCTTTTCCTGTGAAAATGTTGAAAGGCTCTGAAAAGAGCCTTTAGGCAATAGGGAGACATAAGACTATATATTCTCTTAAGTTGCATTCTCTACTCTCCCTTGGCCTTGTGGTGGCTCTCGGTCTTCTTGGGCGGCAGCACGGCCTGGATGTTGGGCAGGACGCCGCCCTGAGCGATGGTCACGCAGCCCAGCATGAGCTCCTCGTCATTGCGGATGGCCAGCTGCAGGTGGCGCGGGATGATGCGCGTCTTGTCGCGGGCCGCGTTGCCCGCCAGCTCCAGGATCTCGGCCGTTAGGTACTCCAGCACCGCCGCCAGGTACACGGGCGCGCCGGCCCCGACCCGCTCGGCGTAGTCCCGAGCAGGCGATGCACGCGGTAGTCCCTTGCGTAGTCCCTTGCGGAGCAGGCGATGCACGCGGCCGACGGAAAACTGCAGCCCCGCGCGCGAGGAGCGAGTTTTAGCCTTGGCTGTTGATTTTCCTCCTTGTTTTCCACGTCCGGTCTTTGCAATTGGCTAACATCAAACACAAAAGTTCTGCGTAAAACAGAAAACCGATGTTGCAGACTGAGAAAATAACATTTTTATAGATAGTGCAGGGATGCACCAATCAGCTATCCAATTGGTCAAAATGTTTTGTTCGACTATCCAATAGAAAAAGAATGTGAATCCTGTATTTCCATAAGCACCTCACTCAGGGAACTTGTGCCACATTTATCCAATCAGAAGAGAAAGTTGTTGATCCTTCGTTTGCATTGAGGAACTATAAGTGAATGGACTCCAGTATTAGACACTAATCTTTGAAAAAAGTGAGACTTTTTTTTATCAGCCTTTGGAGAAAGAACTATGCCTGAACCTTCTAAATCAGCTCCGGCCCCTAAGAAGGGTTCCAAAAAGGCCCACACTAAGGCACAGAAGAAAGATGGTAGGAAGCGCAAACGCAGCCGCAAGGAGAGCTATTCCATCTATGTCTATAAAGTGCTGAAGCAGGTCCACCCTGACACTGGCATCTCGTCGAAAGCCATGGGCATCATGAACTCGTTCATCAACGACATCTTCGAACGCATGGCGGGCGAGGCGTCGCGCCTGGCGCATTACAACAAGCGCTCGACCATCACCTCCAGGGAGATCCAGACGGCCGTGCGCCTGCTGCTGCCCGGGGAACTGGCCAAGCACGCCGTGTCCGAGGGCACCAAGGCCGTCACCAAGTACACCAGCTCCAAGTAGGCGTCTCTAAGCACAGGGACATTTTCAAACAGGCTCTTTTCAGAGCCACATATTTTCTCAAGAGAGAGTTGTAACTGCAACCTACCCTGGTGACTACAAGTGATTGGTTTGACCTCTAATGAAATGAATATGAGGCTACCTCAGGAAGCAAATTCCGTTGAGGTCGCTTGGCTTTAAGTGAAATACACTGCTGTGGTCAACCAGAAGAATTTTTCTCCCTTAATCGGGAGGTGCTCATTAAACTACTTGGGAATGGTCAGTCCCCTGTCTGCGTCTGCCCGTTTCTGACGTTGATTGAAATTTCGTTGTTGGGTGAAAAAAGGCGGTTCAAAGAATATAAAAATGGGAATCCTGAGGTGGATTATCAAGGCCGCCCTTGTCTGTAGAGGGCGAGGAACCTGAGCGGCGGAGAGGGCAGATAGCCGCTCTTCCTGGAGCTCGAATTTAGCGTGGTCTAAACCACTGGTGAAATACAAGGCAAAATAGCCTGACTCTTGGCAGTCCTGTGGACTGCACTTCGAGCTCTGCGCACAGATTGAGATTCCTCCAATTTCGCATTACGGTCGCTTACCAGAGGGCAGTGGCCAATCTGAGGCTATTGCAGTTTTCCGTGCATCCCAGAAAGCTGGCTCCAGTTTCCTGGGTCACTTGTGGTTAAGGAGAGCCACTTAGAAGAGCAGGGAGGATGGCCCTTCAGTTCTAGGAGGGACAAAGGGTTTGAATTTCTCGCTCTTCCCTATCTGGCGCCACCTCCCGGCTGATAGCGAGGAAGACAATGGCAGGTGTTTCTTTGAAAACTAAAAACCATCTTGGACTCCAAAACATACCCTAAGAGTGTCTTCCGATGAAGAAATAAAATTTAAAGTAGAGGTTCTTAAGAGAAAACAATTTAAATTTTTCTCCGTGTCCCAAACAGTCGAGAAGCACTTCCTATCCAGCAAACACAAACTGTAGGTGTGAAAGATGCTTGACTTTTAAAAAAGTAATTTTTGTTTTTTAGATTATACAAAGGCATTCCCCTCCTCCCCTTCTGTCTGTCTCTATGTGTTATTAGCGAACTCAGGCTACAGCTTAAGAATCACTGACCCATATGTTTTTACCCTGTAGAGGTGAGATCTGGTCTGCAATCTTAATATTTAGCCTCTTTAAAATGACCTCCTGAGGTAGGGATTATTTTCTCCACATCTTGTCCTTCGTAACCACTGTCTGCCTGCTTGTTTTCTACCTTCCTTTTCTCTCTAATCTTTCCTTCTTTCCTCCCTCTGATTTCTCTTTCCCCTTTCTTTCTCTCCCAGCCCCCTTCTTCATTCCTAATATTTGATGTTTTATCTAAAACTATACCCTTGATTAACAAGCTCAAACCAAAAGCTAGGCCTAAACTCAAAGCTAGGCTTTTTTTGCCACCTGTACTGATACCTGGCTGGTCTTTAAGTGAATGAGGAATTAAAAAAAAAAAAAAAAATCAGATGCCTGGCCTCTGGTAGACCTTGGATCCACAATGAGAAGTGGGAGAAGGCCTTAAGAAAAATTCATAAATTCCCAGTTGATTCTGATAAGGCACCAACTTTGGACACAGTAGGGCCACTGGGCAAGCCCATCAACCTGAAAGACCAGAAGTGTTTCCACACTTTCTTAGTTAACACCCGCATTTTCTCCAGAGATGCAGTCTGAGTTACAAAGCAAATGAGAGAAAAATAACCTGTCCTACATCCTCAATTCTTTCAGTCATGCAGTTTTGCCTCCCTCCCTATCCAACAAAGAGGATCTGAAGACAGTTAGAGTGAAATACAGGAAGGGATAGAACTGCCTGGGCCGAGTTCTATCTGCCTGGAAGGAGGCAGAGGGGGATTGGGAGAATTTAATTTTGGGAAAGAGACTGACTGAAAATTTGGAAAAGGTCCACAAAGAGACAGATAAAAGGAGGTCTAGAGGCTGCTCATGATTTGGGAAAGGGACGGCAGTTAGGAGACAAGGCAGGTCCCAACCCTTGCTTCATGGCAGGTGGGAGGACACGGACCTCTCATCTCCGTCTAGGGCAACTCAGAAATATTTGATGTGTTTTTCTTGGCTTTCCATTTCCATTAAACTGTATAATATATAAAAACGAGCTATTCTTAAATAATGAGTGTACGTCCGGGGAGAGGAAACCCCGGGTCAAAATATCTGTAAAAACTGAAGTCAGTCAAAGGGAGAAGTAAAGTTTAAATCCCGTTTATTGCTTACAAACATCAGTCCAGGGCTTTCTGTCCTCTCCTCCGGAAGGAAGCAAGCAAACAAGCAAGCCAGCCCCTCCCCTTAAACTCTCAGGTTGACACGCCCTCGGTTGCCCAGGTAATTACTCATTGACATGGAGATGAACTTCTCTACACCCCTGAGGATATGCAAATACACTAAAGCAAGGCGGGATACTCTGGAAATGTTACAATTTTACCCACATCTGTCCTCTCACTTCATCTCTAAATAAAAGTCTCTGCCTTGCTCTCCTACCGTGAGTGTTTGCTAAGTTCATTCTTTGACTTCGCAAAAAAGAACCCCGGCATCACTACGACAAAGAATTGTTTACTGTCTCCTTTTCTGTTGTATGATTTAAATTAAAGCAACTGCTAGTATAAAAGTACCTCTTAAATGTTACCTACTTAGAAATTGCTTTCCAAAATCATGAGTCCCAAGTCCCAGTTAAAGGAAAAGACAAAACAGCGAAAAGACAAAACAATGAGAACAACCACTTCTTCCGATTGTGTTTAAGAAGATATTCTGGGTAAACCACATGATTCAATTACCATTAGTATTAAAAGCTCATCAGACCCGATTAGATTTAAACAAACAAAAATCTCAAAATCAGATGGAAGGATTAATGAAAATGAAGGATGCAGATTCTGCTTTTCCATTGGTTGCTTGATAATAGCCAATGGGAGACTTGCACTCGAGACTACCTCCAGTTAGTATAAATATTCGCCTTGATTTCATTTTATTCTTACTTGATTTTCCGCTTTCCTGAAAATCTTTATGTTTTACTCAAGAAATTATGTCAGGCCGTGGTAAGCAAGGTGGCAAAGCTCGCGCCAAGGCCAAGACCAGGTCTTCGCGGGCCGGGCTGCAGTTTCCCGTGGGCCGCGTGCACCGGCTGCTCCGCAAAGGCAACTACGCCGAGCGGGTCGGGGCCGGCGCGCCCGTGTACCTGGCGGCGGTGCTGGAGTACCTAACGGCCGAGATCCTGGAGCTGGCGGGCAACGCGGCCCGCGACAACAAGAAGACGCGCATCATCCCGCGCCACCTGCAGCTGGCCATCCGCAATGACGAGGAGCTCAACAAGCTGCTGGGCCGCGTGACCATCGCTCAGGGCGGCGTCCTGCCCAACATCCAGGCCGTGCTGCTGCCCAAGAAGACCGAGAGCCACCACAAGGCCAAGGGAAAGTAAAGGGTTCTTGGCACGGGTATTTTCATCTTACGTTAATCAGCCTAGCTTAATAAAGGCTCTTTTCAGAGCCACCCATAGTTTTTCTTTGAAAGAGCTGTCATACTACTTCTGCCCGTATAAAGATTTAAAGACTAAGTGACATAACAAGCGAATTACCCGAAAGATGTTTAGCGCTCGTGAAGATTACGGGAACGTTGATTTAAGGTCGAGAACCACACATGAATTTTCTGAATGCAGCTACTGTAAGCTTTGACCGAGGCTAGCTGTACAGGAGAGTGAGTGGCTAGAGAAGGCGCTGCCTTAGCTCTTAACTGAACGTTTGGGAAAGTTCAGAAAAGACAGTGCAGCCTCACATTTGGGAAAATGAGTAAAGTGAAGCTGGATTAAGTCAATCATTTTAACGCTGACGATACTAACACCCACATCGTTTCCATCCAGATTCAAGTTTTTATTAAAATTACTTAATGTCCTTGACAGTGCTTTGTAAATAAGAGCATTTTCTCAATTGTCCATAATCGTGCCACACCCAAGAGAATTATCATTTTAGATGCAGCCCATAAGTAAATTTCCCTAAGCATCTCCAAAATACCTGATTGCTCTTTTTTAAAAAATCCACTGGAGTTTTCTGCGTTCCTTTTTGTGACTACCTTTCAATATAGACTTCAGAAGCTTTCGGTGAACGACAGAGGTCCGGAGCTCCTCTACTACAAGGTTAAGAATAAATAATATGACGTCAGAGGGGAGACAGTGAAAGGCAGGGTTTGGGATTCATTCACCAACGGGAAAGCAGCTCTTAATCCGGGCCAAGCACAGAGATGGACCAATCCGGAGAGGACGCGGGGACTTTTGAATGTTCTTGGGCCCAATAGTCAGTGATCTTGCTGTATAAAAGAAAGGTTGTTCTTTACCCGTCACTGGAGTCCCTAAAAACATCCTGTGATATTTTAATATGGCTCGGACGAAGCAGACGGCTCGCAAGTCCACCGGCGGTAAGGCCCCGCGCAAGCAGCTGGCTACCAAGGCGGCTCGTAAGAGTGCGCCGGCTACGGGCGGCGTGAAGAAGCCCCACCGCTACCGGCCCGGCACGGTGGCGCTGCGCGAGATCCGCCGCTACCAGAAGTCCACCGAACTGCTGATACGCAAACTGCCTTTCCAGCGGCTGGTTCGCGAGATCGCGCAGGACTTCAAGACCGACCTGCGCTTCCAGAGCTCGGCCGTGATGGCGCTGCAGGAGGCGTGCGAGGCCTACCTGGTGGGGCTTTTCGAGGACACCAACCTGTGCGCCATCCACGCCAAGCGTGTCACCATCATGCCCAAGGACATTCAGCTGGCGCGTCGCATCCGTGGAGAGAGAGCTTGAATTGTTAACCTTACTGTGTTGTATCCCTAAACCCAAAGGCTCTTTTCAGAGCCACCTAAGTATTTCCATGACAGTAGCTGTGACATTTTAGGTCTCCTTGGCCCCTAAACGGAAGTACTGAGAGTACGTGGAATCCACTAAATTTTGTTTTACAGGTGTCAGGGGCCATCGATGATGATAGTCTGCAGAAAAATGACAATAGAATGCTTCTATTTACTGTCACTGGTCTGTTGACCAAGCATGTTTTGTAATACATCCGTGGCTCGACTTCTAGACATTCTGGATCGTATTGCATACTCTTAAGGCTGTGAAATGCGATATGATATGCCAGTTTTTTTGCAATCATGAGCTGTAGTTATTTCAAATGTAGGATTTAACCGTTTTCCTTGATTCTAGGTATTTTGGAGTTTGGGATTCAGTGTTGAAATGAAGATGGCCTATATGAGAATAGTGTGAGAAGAAAAGGCATTTATAAACTTTATTTCCCATGTTTCACCCAATGTTTCATAAAAGTTTTCTTAGATTTATAGCTTTTACCCTACATATTAAAACCAACTTTAGGACAACAATGTGGAATTCTGCATAACATGCCAGCTACCACATCCCAGAGTTTGCTTCAGCTTTCCACACCTTATTTATACTTAACATCTGAACTGTGAGTTGATGCATCAATGCCTCACGACGACAACCCAACAACAAAATACCAAAGATTAAACTTACTACTAGAAATTTTTTGTATTCCAGTTTTTATGAAAGAACTACAAAATATTTGCATTTTCAAAAGTACAGCTAGACGTTTATCTGATTTGTGTGTGAGCTGTTTTGTTCATTTGACGTTTTCCCAGACTGCCTTGGCACAGACGTTTGTTACCGAAACAGGATCTGTTGGAGGCACTGGTGTCCTACGCTTAAACCAAGTGTTTTGCCCTCCAGTTCTGGGCCCAGCTGAAATCCAAGTGTCTTGGGGGGTTTTTTTTGTTGTTGTAACTATGCTGGCTCTTACCAGAACTACCAGAACTGTTTGATTTTTCCCTCTCATATTTTGTGTGTATGTGGGGAAAAGGGGATATTTTAGGTACAGGGCCTGACAGGATAGCCTTAAAAAAGAAAGTGCCCATTGTTGTCTGGTAGTCAGACTGTGGCTCAGAATGGCAGCTCCTCCTCCAACCCCTAAGCCAAGGAACACAGATTTGGCCTTTTCATTTATCTGAGCCCCTAAGAAGAAATGCCCAGTGTCTAAGGAACAATACAGCATTTCCGGATTGCTGACTTTTTAATCTTTGTATGAAATACTCTAGACGCTGGCAGCACAGTTTGTGAAAGGAAAGGAGCGACACATAGCAGCAATTCACCGGAGAGTTCCGCTTTATTAGGGAAAGGTGCTGGGTTATATAGGAAGGGGCATGAATTGATTGAGGTGTCACTTCTACGGGGCTGTTGGCTGTTGGCTAGGTTCTGGGATTGGAGGGGGCGAGAGGTGATTGGGCTTCAGGTGGCGCCGGCGGGAACTGAGGACCCCTAAGAGAAGCCGGAAGTTTGCCATCTTACTGGTGGGGACCCTTCACTGGGTAAGGAGGGTCCCGGCGAGATACCCTTTCAAGAACAAAGTTACTTTCTTTTATCAAAAGACACAATCTTTAGCATGTAGAAATGTTTTCCTTATTACTTTAAGTAGTTTTAATTGGAACTTAAAAACTATTAGGTACCATAATTTTCAGTGAACACTGAGAAGTAGGCTATTGTAAACTGTTACACTAGCATTCTTTAGATTGACAAATTATTAACACATTTTATAATTTCTGGAACCATGTGCTTTGCAGCCCAATCTTACTAAGCACAAAATGTGTCTAAACTTAGCAAAAGTTTAAGGTTTCAGGTTGCCACAAAGATTCTCAGGCTGTTTGTAGGTATACACACTTTAACACACAATTATTATTAAGATATTCACTTGCTACACTTAATTTATTCATAATGATACAGTGAGAGGACAGAGCTCCAGGCATGAGCCAGGAGGGTACAAGAGCTTATAGGCAGTTGAGGATATTTAGGAACATGAAAAAAGCTTAGGGGTGTGGACTTTAAGGCAAGTAGTAGGTGTTTAGAATTGCAGGGGAGACAGAGAGAGCTTGGTTCGGAGGTAGGAGAAAGCTTGAATATATGGGATCTCTTTACATTTGCTCACAGAAGTTGTATAAGTTGCAGAGAATTTTAGGATCTAAAGAGGCATTTGGAGGCCATTTAGACTGATTGTCTAAGGAATATTGTGGCCAGATCTCATTACAGTAGCGAACAGGTTTGAGGTCTGGAGTGAGGTGGAGGGGCTTTAGATTATTGAGTAAGCACCTTAGCGGTGAAATCTGCAGGAATGGGGGGGCCAGATCCCATGGTGAAAACGAGACTGTTCAGAATTCGCTGAGCCGTCCCTGAGCGATTGAGAAGAGAAGGTCACGGAGAAGACCAGGCACAGTTAGGGGGGTCGTCACCACCTCTAACTGCGGGGTCAAGGCGAAAACACTGAGGAGGCTCGGTACCTGGTACCAGGAGTTTACGAGAAGGGTAGATACGTAGATAAAGGTGAAGGGTCCCCACCAGTAAGATGGCAAACTTCTGGCTTCTCTTCGGGGTCCTCAGTTCCCGCCGGCGCCACCTGAAGCCCAATCACCTCTCGCCCCCTCCAATCCCAGAACCTAGCCAACAGCCAACAGCCCCGTAGAAGTGACACCTCAATCAATTCATGCCCCTTCCTATATAACCCAGCACCTTTCCCTAATAAAGCGGAACTCTCCGGTAAATTGCTGCTATGTGTCGCTCCTTTCCGTTCATTGGTGCCGAAACCCGGGAGACGGGACACCCCAACTGGGCCCCGTCTTCCCCCGATACCAGCAGCAGCTTGCCCTCGTCCTCTTTTTCCGGCGCTGGCTCATCACACTCACCACTCCTCTCTGGCCTTTAGGTAAGTTTTCCCCCCGGAGTGGGCCACTCTTCCCCGAGCTATCGCAGTGCCATTGACCGTGATCGTCC